TCCCAAAAGTACTAGACTGATATGTGTGATGCATAGCAAAATTATATAAGGGATTTGAGTAGAAAAAAAAGAAGGTGAGGGTAGTAGACTGAAGAGTTGTGTTTCTAGGTCACTGGCAGACACTGTACAGAAGAAGCTCTTAAGCCAAGAGAAAAATAGGTTGTCATTTTGGCACTAGAAGTGAGTGGTGTGTGCTGGGAAGCAAATTGTTCCTGATGCACAGGGGAGCTGGGCTGAGCCTGCTGATGAGAGAGGTTAGTGAACCTTTTCTCTGACCTGATTCACCCACAGCAGTTGCCTCCTAAGGTTTATTATTTTTGTATTGGATTCAGTGTTTGCATTTTAAAAATCTTAGTTATAGTTTAATAAATTATCAAATCAGAAGTCCAATCAAGAGTAACCTTGGCCATACATCCTCCCCTGGGTGCAGTTATACATAATGAGGAAGTTTGCATCCTGAACTGAACTCTGCCACCTTCCAGTTATAACTGAAGTGGGCCCAGTTTGACAAACTGGAACTGGAGTCTGACCAGCTCCAGGCAGACTGAGGGCAGGGTAACCATGAGCAAAGGGATAGTGCTGAGTGTGGGGATGAGACAGGGAGCACATCTTCCCATGCACTGCTACAGCTGGCAGAGGACAGGCTGTTAATCAGAGGCAAAGTAGGAGGGACGTATCCCACCACTTGTCCTTTCTCTGCCTGCCCTGCAGCACAGTCGTGCTCAGTGCTCCCAAGAACACCTTCAAGGGGTGTTTGTTAATTGGGTTTCTGCTGGTAGGGCAGAACTTGGCATAAAGGTATAGCTGCCCCTTCCCATCTTACAGAGGGGCCAGAGAACAATGAGATCATTTATACAGCCCAAAACATAGGCAAACAGCACAGGAGTTTTCTAGGTGTAGTCACTAGAGCAAAGACCAATAGCTCTGTCTTTCCAGCATGTCCTTGCAAGCCTGGGAGGTTGCATTAGGGGAGCAAGATTAGGGACAGGAGATAGTGTATGGTGACACTGGGCAGCACCATACCCCATGGGACACTGTAGAAGGTTTGCTGTGATTTAGTGAGGCTCCAAATGTTACGTGAAATATCTCAGATACTTTTCAAACCTCTGAGAAATAGTTGAAAGGGTTGAAAAGATAGTAACAAGGCTAAATCTGTAGCCCAGTGTTTGATCTTGTCCTAGCTAGAAGTCCCGCAAGCAATGTCACTCTTGAAACACAGAAATACCAAGTTAGCTGTATTTGCAATATATCTATAAATGTAAAAATTATAGAAATAAGAGTGTTTGAGTGCCTGGCTTCAGAGTGATAGATTAGTCTATATCCTTTCTAATGGCTAAGACCTTAGACACCATCACCCAAGCTGTGAAAGCACTTTATGGAGGTGCTTAACACTGAGAGATAAATAGTCACATTTGAGGGTACTCCGAGCTGTATTCTGCCCTGTGTTACACCAGGGAAATTCCATAAGCTGAAAGGAAAGCCTCTGTTTCCAACACCTTTTCCCAGGATACCATTTTGTAACAGTTGTTATCATAGCTTTTTCAATTAAATGTTTATTCCAGTTGGGTTTACTTAGAGGTGGTCAAATCACAAACAGAAAAATGCAAAACATTTGTCAACAATTATTCCATTTTTTCATAGAAATATTCCTGTTAACAATTTTCTGGGCAGCTCTAGGGATGCATTTTCTTTTCTTTATATTTCATTTCATCTAAATTGCGAGCTAGTATTTAAATGTCAAATATCTTTAGTTGATATAAGAGGAATTTGAAATATCTTATCTCTAGAGCCCTGTGATTGAGTGTGGCAGCACCTGGAAATCTCTATCGACAGACACCCAGCAAGGCATCCTCGATGGATGGGTAATCTTCAAGCGACACGACGTTGTCAGAGCTTGTGTTAGAACTGCCCTTTAGGGGACACCAGGGATGCAGGGGCTGGGTGGGTGCTTGCAGCAGGTGCTTTTGTGGAATGGTTGGGATTACTCCAACCAAACGTGTGCCTGCTGCAGAGATGGCCATACAGGAGCAGGCCAACCCAGGCTCCCTTTGCAGCCAGTTGGGGGAAGCAGGCACTCCTGGAGCACAGTTCACCTCACTGTTAAACAGATAACAAAGACAGGACTGATAAAGCCTACCTTATTTGCTTAGAATATGCTGTGACTTGGAGGAGAAAAGAGCTCTAAGAGTAAGAAATAATTTGCCACATGTTTATTTTAAAAGAACAATTACATATGGGAACATGTCTTATATAAAGGAATTTATTTGAAGAGTGTGTTTTTAAACAGTGTATAATTATGTGCATCCTACCATGAGGGAATAATTTTGAACAGAATTAGGAGTTTTGTTTTATTTTTTTAATGAACGGCTGCAATCATAAGGCAGCTCATGCTCTGTTTAAATTAGATTCCATTGCTGCATCTCTTCTACTATTTATCTACTAACTAAGAAAGAAATGAACAATCTCATATAAAAATCTGATTTTCTAAAGTAATCTCTCATTGCTCAGAAAGAGTCACTGTATTCTGGATGAAAAAAATGGATTCACAGTGAGTTACCTTATACCAGTTCACGGAGTGAGCTCAAGAATATAGAAGTTAGAAATTAAGGTGAAATAAATTTTAAAACTGTAGAGAAACGATTTTATTAACTAATGTTAATGTTCCTGTTGTGCATATTTTACCCTCTAGCATTTTTGAATGTAACTTCTAATTATGTAATCAATGAAGATGCTGATGTTTACCAATGAAAGGATTTTTTTCTGCTCATACAGAGCTGTGAATTAACTATTACAGTCCCACAGACCTCTGCAGCTCCCTAGAATTGCAGTATGATGAAAACATGCTTTCAGCATGTCTTTTTAAATGGGTAGAATCTATGTGGCAGAAGGATGATATGTTTACGAACATCCCTTACAGACACCCACTGTGCCTGATAAAAACAAAATGAGGGGAGGGTGTTTTTATTTCATAGAGATTCTATAGCAAAGCAACACATAAATGAGTACTGGGGAGAGACTAACATAAGGAAAAGGGAGGATGTTTCTGTGCTGCTGATTTTCCTCATGCATGGGAATATCTTAACATGGCCAGAAACCAGTACAGGTTATTCTTATTTACTGGTGTAATTATAATAAACATTGTGTTCCGGGGATGAATTCTTGGCTGTATTGCATCTTTGACATTCAGTTCCCATGCAATTCAGCAGACTGAAGATTTTGCCCAAGTCTTCTGGAGAGCCTTATCCTTGTGTTTTTCTTGCAGTGAAGAGGCTTTGCATGTGTCTTGTTTACATTTTGCTTTTCTGGGGTCTATATTCAGCCAACCTCGCTCATCAGAGCCACTTAATACATTCCTGCTGCATATGTATCCAGCCGAGCTCAGAAGTGGAGTCTAATCCAAGGGGACAATATGAAATGAAAGGATGCTCATGTGACTCTTCCTGTCCAGCTAAATTAATGAATGGTGATAATGAATCACATGTTAATGTTTTACAACAGATACACCATTGTATGTGTTAGGGTGTTATGTGTTATTTTGCAGTCTTTTCTTTAGGGATCTTAGGTGAACATGCCTATTCAGCTGTGGAGAGCGAATCTTACTGCTGTAGCTGAAAGCATGTTTCAGTTAATAAGATGTTAAAAGATCAGGCAATGTAAAAATCTCTTCTTCAGAGGCTGTGGGCACAGAGCATGTCACTAGTCCTCTGTATTTTAAGCTATTTGCCTTTTAGGTAAGTGATTATTGATTCAGAATAAAAGCCAAAATCATCACTTAACAATTGGTGTTTTATTATTCTTTGTACATTTACAAACTGTGTCACATGTTTCTGTATCCTGTAACACAGTTGGCTGGGTTTAGTATTTTCCAGTTTTTGTTTTGTCTGTTGGTTTTGACTACACTATATTTTCCTGCTATAACCTATACCTTCTCCTACAAAAAAGGTATGCATGCTTTCTAAAATATATATAAAGAAATGTAACCAAAAAGCACTAGATGAGATGTTTAAAATGAGTTGTTGGGAAATTGAAGTTTTACAGAATAAAATCCTGGTGAAAAAATGATATTGAATTGCACAAAAGTGGTTCCACAGGAAGACACTGTTGTAATAATATTTTCTTGCAGTTCAGTCTAAATGGGACTTAAAAAGAAATGTTTCCTCTTAATCCTGATGAAGCCTGAAGTGTAATGGATGCTGCGCTTAGAGTCTTCTGAGGAAGCTGAGAGCACTGTCAGAGGAAAGAAGATTACCTGGGGAGGGAGTGTACAAAGTCTAGCCTTCAGTTTTGGCAATCTTTCTGCAGAGAAAAACAACATTTGTTACCTGAATGGTAAACATGAAGCTGTAATCCAGGTGTTTTCCTGGATTCATCTGGAATCCTTTAAAAAAACATATATAATGTGAAACATTAAACAAATAGTACAAAACAAATAATGCAGAATGAATGCAGGCACGTCATCTGTTCAAAGCAGTTCCTTGTAATTAATCAGTGTTTTGAGGAGGAATTGTTCAGCCTCAGTATTGTTCCTTAATTAACAACATGATGTTAGTGAAATCTGTTGACAGAAGTATGGCTGAGCCCAAGCTCCAATACTGAGCTTTTGGCTGAGCAGATTAACACAGACACATTTCATTTCCTCAGTGAATCCAGTACCACAGAGGTCTCCTCGCTCCTGCTGTAAGGTCATTCCATATTACTGAATGGCTTAAGGGAGACATTGTGAGAGTGAAGACTTATGCCACAGGGAAGGGGGGAGGCTGCTTTTTGTTGTAAGAAAGCTATGAAAATGAGGAGAAGACAAGTCTTGAAGGAAGATTTATGTAGTTTCACATGGCTGTATTGGCTTCTTACATCTGATAGAGCAAAGGACACAAAAGTTGCCCAATATGATATAGTGCAAGCAGGATTTATGGTGATTTTAATGTGACATGGAGCAGAAAATGTGTTCTCAGCAGGATATTTATGCCTGCAATTTGAAACCCGTGCTTTGATTGTTCTAGACGATAGCAAGTTTTCCGAGGCCATCACGGTGCTGCTCACCTGGATTGAGCGGGGCGAGGTGAATCGTCGCTCTGCCAACCAGTTCTATTCCATGGTGCAGTCGGCCAACAGCCACGTCCGCCGGCTCATGAACGAAAAGGCGGCTCACGAGCAGGAAATGGAGCAAGCCAAGGAGAGTTTCAAAAATGCCTTAACAGGGATCCTCACTCAATGTAAGTAACTCCCTTTTTGTCAGTGTTGTAGTGATGGTGGTGGTGGTGGTAGTAGTGGTTTTATCATTTTGCTTGTTTGTTTGGGGGTAAGTAGTTGCAATGCAGTCATGCTCTACTTCACATCCTATTCCATACTCTATGGCAGTTTGGAGGATCAAGGACCATTCCTAAGAACTTTTTATTCAAGGTGAGCAAAATTTCAGTAGTTTGGTTTTTTTTATTAATAGATGAAGACGTGCTCTATTCACAATGTCTACCGTTATGTAGACATACCACTTCAAGAATGGACAAGACAGAAGCCTCGCTGCTCTGAGAAAAGATCGTGGGTTTTTTGAGAGAGGAATATATAGCCTATGTGTGGCAGCTAGTTAACTAGGTCAATTACAGAATAGAGCACAATTAGGTAATATTTTTAGCCTGGGTTTAGGTAAAAGGCAGTATAATCCAATAACTTTCAGGGATATATTTAACTTTCAGGGTAAAGGCCACCTCCACAGTAGAAATTTATGCTGTACTGCTGCTGGCATCAGGACTGGTTGGCTGATACAATGCCAGTATTAATTGGGCAGATAAACTGTCTTAAATATCTAGTGCTGCCAGCTATTTCCTTAGTACAGAAATACAATCAATGAACTTACTCTAATGAGGTTCCCTCATAAAGCAATTTTCTTCAAAGGCAGGAGAGGAGAGGAGAGGAGAGGAGA